GACCCAGGTAATGTGCTGTGTACCAGAGTTCGAATCTCATCCCAGCAGATGACAGAGTTTGAATTCAATAATTGTCTGGATTTAAAAGTCTATTGATGACCGTGAAACCATAGTCGATTGTCAGAGGAACTCATCTAGTTCACTAATGTCCTTTGGGGACAGAATCTAACATCCTTACCTGGCCTGGCCTGCATGTGACTCCAGGCACACAGCCAACGTGGTTGACTCTCAACTGCCCTCTTGGAAACTGTTGATGGGCAATAAACGCTGGCCTAACCAGAGACGACCTCATTCTGTGAACGAATGAAAAGAAAACTCCAGCCCTGGTATAACACAAGCTAATTTTATGTTACATTGGTAGGGTTCAAATGGGAACGGATCGACACCAGCGACTCCAAGATTGGAGATGAATACTTTGTCTGTTTTTTGTAACAAGCAAATCAAGAATTTCAGCACTTTTTCCAGCATTAGGATGCCAGTTGAAGTGCAACCTGCCAATTTAGAATGTGACTTGGAGTCTGTTTTAAGAATCCGCTGCATTGCATTGTAACATCTGTCAATTGTGTAGAAACTATCCCCGATCCAGAAACTCACACTGTGCAAACACAACCGCTTAACTCTGGATTGTTACTCCTGGGCACTAACATGGGAGATGTGGAATGAACTGTTCCGAATGACAAGTAGGTGAACAACGAGAAACAAAGGACAAAAAACATATTATAATATATGAATGTCAGGTGGACATGCCATTTGAGCGTAGCAAATGCTACACAGTGTCCCCATGTGTGAGTTGATGATGCTGTCAGTTTGAATGATGCTATTCTCCTACTGTTGAATTCCTGATTATTTCGACCTTCCACTTGTGCTGTAACAGACATCCACCAGAAGAGACAACAAGGTGCAGGGCTGGATGAACACAGCAGGCCAAGCAGCATCATAGGAGCAGAGAGGCTGACGTTTCGGGCCTAGACCCTTCATCAGAAAAGGGGGAGGGGAAGGGGGTTTTGAAATAAATAGGGAGAGAGTGGGAGGCGGATAGAAGAGGGATAGAGGAGAGGATAGGTGGAGAGGAAACAAACAGGTCGAAGAGGCGGGGATGGGGCCAGGAAAGGTGAGTGTAGGTAGGGAGTTAGGAAGGGGATAGGTCAGTCCAGGGAGGACGGACAGGTCAAGGGGG